TACACAGTAAATTTAAACCTATGCCATGATCAGAGTACCTGAGAAGTATTCTGGAAATATAGAAAAAAAGCACATTTTAAGAATGGTCAACTATGAAATTACTTGTGAAAGTTATTTACCCCCCCACCCCATCTTCACTTTTGAAGACCTCAGTTATGAATGGAGTTATTCACGAGCTTCCATTTCCCTTCTCTGTTGATTGATTCCAAGACTTTGGCTGTTCAGGTAGCACAGTAAGGATTTCGCCACATTAGGGAATACTTTCCAATATGTTTTGGTATTATTTGGTATCATATTTTAAAAATTGGCGTTTAACATTTTGTTTCATTCTAAGTACTGTTACTAATTTGATGTATCAGTTTTTAAATATATATTAAATATATCAAATAAATATATATCCACTAAAATAAAAACCATTTTGCCATATTCCATCTGAAATTTGCAAAACTTGTCCTGGTTTCTCTAGGGGTACTTGCTATACTATAGAAAAATTGTCTTTTTTCTTCTTCATAGTGGTCTAAATTTCACTAAATAAATTTGGGAAACTTAAAAAAAGCTGTATTTGTAATTTTTTTTCTCTTTAAAACAGGACTGCATCTTCTATAATTTACACTTCTGAAATAAACTTACGCATTTTTTTCTTCTTTTCTTACTCTTGCCTTCCAGAATCCAGTTGTAAGTTTTACCAGTAGCTCTTGTATAAGTTAGTATATGCCCTTAGCCTTAAAAATTAAAAGCAGTATCTCTTTTCACCTTTAACCCCTGCATACATTCAGCTGTTAAGCTGCCTTTATGAAGCATGCATGTCCTTGTAACATGAAAGATGCTCGACTCATAATAAGGGAAATGGAAATCATAACTGTGTTGGGTGGTTGGATAGCTCACTGTGTTGTTGAGGGTCTGTAGTAGAAAACCCTTGTTTATACTGCTGATTGTTAAAGATGCCAATGGGGTGTAAAAATTGTTAAAAATGCCTATGGGGAGTCTCTAGCCATAAAATTGCAATATACCCTCCTTAATCCACTCCTTCCAGGAATTTCTCCTATAGATTCATTCACATCCTTGCTTAATGACACAGACACAAGGTTGTTATTGTAAAGATCAGAGAGGAAGTTCATCAGTAGGGAACCATTCATTCATTTTATGGAGATTAACCATGTATAGAGGGGATTGAGGGGGCCCTCCCTGGTGGCACAATGAGTTAAAGTGTAGCACTGCAAAGCTAGCTGCCATTTCAATCCCTGATCAGGGAGGTGACCCACATGGCACAGCAGACCTCTCCTGTCTCACCCGCTGTTCCCTTTAGCAGTATGCTTTGTTAATCTGCCTGTTCTGCTCCCCACTCTGT